GGTATATGAATTCCTAACAGTAAGTCTGCAAGACAATGAATGATATTATTTATATCAGCAAGTTTTTTCCAGGTATTTGTGTATTTCATTGTCTCATCTTCAGCGATTTTGTAACTTCGACAACTGGCATCATGTTCAATAGAGGTATATTTTTGGAGATTCGAATTTCGAGAACAAAATGAACAAACATTCACCTTTTCAAGACGTTTTGAAAATTTATACCATTATATTTATGCTAATGTATCATGTTTATTGCATTCACCGCGCGTATATTTAATACTTAGACCTATATAAGCTAAGACAGATATGCTATGTACATTGATAATCTCGTGTGAAAAGCATAACATGATAATATTTAACTATTAGAACTTCAATCGATATATTATACAACTAATAATAAATTTCCGGAAAAAAAAACAGTTAACGTAATTATTCACACTTTATGATGAGAAATTACTTTTACTCATTGAAATGACAAACCGACTTCAGTTAGAATTCGACTGAAAACTTGGAAGAACAAGATATTTGTTTCGTTTTAGTGTCAGACTCATCGGTAGTGAATAGTGTATAGTGTATCACATCACGGAGGACGGAAGCTAGAACCTTCAGTCTTGCGGAAAACAGTTAACCTATCGACCAATGAGCCAATATCTAATAGCCTACAGGGCTAACTCCAATCAGTCAACTGATCGACTATCTTATATTATCGTCTATGGGTATATTTTTCACTAAAGTCATACATTGTTATGTTCTTAACCATTAACCATTATCACGTGCCCAGCCATTTATTCGAATCTTGATTCTAATTAGGTTTGCTGTTTAATGTCTCTGAGTTGAGCATTTATGTGCCTCAAGTAGCATCGTTGTCATTGAGTCGACACCTACGTTCTTATTGACCTATTAATCTCCAGTTCCTTTCCATACTCATCCTTGAGTCCAAAAGTCCGTAACCAGCCTCCATGATAGTCATATTTCAAATAGACGAAATTTATATGCACAAATGTTGTACCACACAATACCGTAAACTGAAAAATCACAATTATACTTGAACAAACCAAAAATTGCTTTGAGTAGGGGAGTTTGTAAAAAACAGGCAGGCAGTTGAATAGTAATTTGAAGCCGTGTAACTACAGTTAAATGGAACTTTACGGTGAATGGAATATACATAATAATCTAATTAATAAGTAAGTATACGACTATAGCTGATAACATTAAAAAAACTAGTTCACTTATGACAGATGTGTACTACGTTATGTTTCAAATAAGCGTTCTAAAAGTTAAGCATTAGCCTGTGAGAACGAAATTCCTAGCTTCGATCCCCTAATATAAAGTCATGGATGCACACTACACAGGAGTCCCACACTAAAACCAAACAATTGTCTAATATTTTCTAGATTCTCAATAATTTTCTAATTTTAATCAGCTAATGATTTCAGGAAAAATTCAGCAAACTCCAAAACCTCTAGACTGATAAATTTTATTTAATCAACAGTATTCAAACACTCCTATGAAATAAAACACCTCATTATTTATTAATCATAAATATTAATGACGTTCTTAATACATCACAATTTTTAAAGTGAGCTATCATAATATCATATGACACTTAAAAAAAAAGTATTTTCAATGCATTAACCAACAGTCTTTGAATGTCAATAGCTTGTTCTTATTTGTCATAATAATGAAATATGATGTTTTACTAATGGGAAAAATTGATGAATAGGCAACGATTTAAATTAATTTAACAAATAATTAGACCTAATTCATTTGAATGTACAACTCGTGAAAGAGAAGGTTTATGATGTATGAGATATAAAAACAACGGAAACTAAATGAAAAATCAAATAGGCAATTGTTAAATAAATCAATGGTCTTTTTTGTTTGAAAAAAAATATTCCTTATTCTCTAAGTGCATTCACATGTTTGAGAATTTCACATTTATTCTTTTGTTATTAGTCGTTGAATTATGAACGAAAATTATTTAGCCAAAAAAAAAAATAGTTATGTGAATTCATACTTGAATTTGTTCATTTTCAATGATTCACTATGAGATTGACTTATACAACCAGTGAATATTGAACAACCATGTTGTCACAATACCGTTTTTTTGAAGTTAATTTCACATATCCTAGTAAAAAATTTACAGTGCTTAATTATGTAATAATTATATAATTATATACATTAGTAACATCTTTCAATTGATAGAAGTACCAATAACTTAAAACGAGAGAGAGAGAGAGAGATAAAGGCATGGTTGTTCTTTATCATTTCTCAACAAATTTTAGTTTTGAGAAGTTTACCGTTTTCTGTATTTTTCTTATAAATTCTCAATAATTGTTCTCATGTATATATAAATATGTATATATCATTATCTCTCTTCTCTTACGCACAAACCTCTTACCTGATAAGCGTTATTGAATCCAGGATGATCTAAATCATGACAGATGGCCGATACAATCAAAATCATTTGATCTTCTATATCGAGTAGATTATTTAAATTTCCACTCCAGATTAGAACATAACACTGAGACAGAAACAATGAATAAACGATAAGTAAAAAAAAGTAAACAGTATTGATATACAAACATTTACGTTACAATTATATATATATATATATATATATATATATATATATATATATATATATATATATATATATATATATAATAACTTATATTAAGTTATGCTTCCGACTTGTATTATCAGCACGTAGTAATGAATAGTATTTGTTGTTTTTTATTAAAAATACCAGTTTTGCAAAACACGATTGAAACGATATGAAGTTTTTTTGAAGTGACATAATGTGAGATATCTTGTAGGCAGATAGATGGATATACATGAAAATTGTTCAGTTACAACATTTTACATCATCACAGCAATCGAGAAAAAAACCAGAATGGAAATTTCCAAGATATAAGTAAATTCATTAGAAATGAACTAAGTTTGAAGAACAACAAACTTTGTTTAGAGAAAAGAAATCAAATGTGTGGACAAGAAGTAAGTAAGCCAAATTTTTAGGATAAAATCGATGGCTGACTGAAGTACAAAATAGCTGAGTCAATGGCTGATCTGACCACAGTCAATAATCTAGTTGTCATTGTTATTCATGTTACTGATTATAATTGTTACATCAAATTTAAGAAAAAAATTGATAGATAACGACATCAATCAATCAATCAACAGCAACGTAGAACTTCGTACATAGGTACATCAGTTCATGTTGCCATACCACATTAGCACAGAGATGTGATTGTCGATTCAAATCCAATAGTCGTAGAAGTAGTAAGGGTATTAGCAGTAGTTGGAGAGGTTAGGATTAGAAGATGTTATTCAAAAAGTAGAATCTAGTGAAATAAACTTAAAAAAATAAAGATAAAGTGATGAAGAATTAAAAAGTTTAGGATTTGAGAGAACACAAAGAATGGATACATCTGCGCCATTGCAAATGGTTTTGAGCCATGTCACTCAGGGTCGCTAACCATCGATTACTAACATCTCGTGGACCCCAACGAGGTAGTCGACACCTACCGACATGACTCAGTCCACTTGTCAGTGATTTCATGGATTTGTGCCATGTTTTGATCTGGCCACCCCTAGCTTTCGTCCAACCTATTTCTACACTGCAAAATATAGCTCGTCGAGGCAGTCGGTGGTTAGGCATACGCAGTACATGTCCCAACCACCTCAACTGATGAAGTTTCAATATAATCGGTCAAGGGGATTCGGTGTGAGACTTCAAGGTGTTTGTTTGAAATCGAGTAGTTAAAATTATGTAGTAGTGGAGTTAAAAACAATGAAAATTTTTGGTTTTGTGTAGGTCATGAATTTTGTCTGGATTAACATTCTTTGTTATTAAGTACAAATGAATATAGATTTTGAGAAATACTTCGGGCTACTCACCATTGTTTATAGTTCGGCAAACGTTTTTGAATTATTTTGAAATTTTCGATATTATATTTATTGAAAATAACATGCACTGCTATTGTCGATTTCATTTGTAAATGTTTCAGCTCTACAGGATTATTAGATCTTTTTGTATAGATTAAGGGGTCGGCACAAGAAGCGATTTCACAGAACGCGTTATAATCAACACAATGTGATTTGAAGATACAATTCTGTGTGTGTACGCAAGAAGGAATCTCCTAAATTCCAAATGAAGTGTTTCATAGTATTGGTTGTTTTATAGAAAGCTTTAATTCTGAATGCTTTCAAGATCCCTTATAATTCTTCTCACTTTACTATGATGATAAAATAAAGCCACCGAATCAATTCAAGGATTTTCAATAAGATTCTTAGATGGATAGTTTCATTATCAAAAATCTCTGATAAGATTTCTAGTAAAATTATTAAGATATAAGTTGTTTACTATCTGATCTTTTTATCTAAATTATATTACATCTTGTTTATTTTAGTCGAACTAGAGTTTATTCACTTAAAAGAGTTGTTTTATAAAAAATTTAAGAACAATTATCTAAACTTTTAGCAGTCGAAACAACTGCGGTAATAAGTCATGTTACATATTGATTTGATTTATTCTAACCTTCAGACAGATTAATCATTTTATGTTTGCTATTGATTTTTTATCATAACATTTACTCTTGTCAAATAATCATGTGTAGGCTTCCGAATGTTTTAGCTAAGTATCATATGATGTTTGTGTCGGTTTACACGTACATCTATCATGGGTATAACGGCTGAGTCAACTCTGAGTCGGCATAGTTCCGAACTTTACAGTCGGTGCTTATTTTCTTTACTTGCTTGATGTTCAACTATACAGCATAACTGAAATGTATATATACGAATACAACTCATATTCAACTGTTGATATGCCGTCGACGAAAAAAATATATAAAATCAAGTAGGATATATTATTTTTTTATTGTTATTGTCTATGAGCACAAAATCAACTTTTAAATTAGATGGGGACATATTTTTTTAGAAACTGCCAATAGGTATCATGATTATTGTATTAAATGCAGGAAATATTAACAAATTTTTATCGGACATCAATTCTTATTGTTATTGTTAATAGTTCAAAAGTAAATTTAACTAGAAATTTTACGTAATGTAATTTGTTTTCTAGTCCAGTGCTTAATAAATCAGATAAGATAATCTGAGCTACAAATTTCAAATCGTCGATTCGACTTCGAAATTAGGTACCTAACCGACGGTGTCAATGGTCACATGATTAACTGATAAAATACTAATTCTGTTACGCATGCACGCCAACACCTCATTGGATATGCTTGAACTATTACTAGTTGACCTTAGTCGGAAAACGAGAGCGAGGATCGAGGATCCGGTGAAACAACAGGCTACTCTAATCCGAGCGTCCCAAACCTTAGCTGAGTAAAAGAAGAAAACTTGATATGAAGTAGAACATGTATTCTACAAGCATCCACAAATTACTAGGTCCGAGTCCTGAAGAGAATCAGGATCCTAGGATAGGGATCCGGGTCCGGGTCATAAAACGTTACAGATAATGAGTATTTATACAGTTAGGTTGAATAGGAAACAACATTGAAGTCTGTGACATTGATAGTTAGAACGACCAATGGCAACTGACCAATAGAATTAGACATACAAATGATTTTCTTAGGATATAGGATGAATATCCTAACAAATTCACAAAAACGTACGTACAATTTACCAAAGAACAACCTTCAGGAGCAAGAAATATTATTGCTACCCTTATCATTATTCCCTACCGCACCAACTTATATCTTGAAGTTGTTTATTTCACAAAATATCAATAAAAGAAAACTCTCAAATTACACTTGATCATGTAATTGACTTTACCGACTCATACAATGTCTCAAGAAAGTTTACTCTTTATTTTAAACTAGACAGAACTTCCGATAATCTGAACAGACGTGTATGTCAATGAATAAAATATTTATTCTTAAAAAATTTTTAAATAAAACCTAATCGAATAATGATTGAGTGAGATATTTTGTTAAGGTCAATCAAAGACATGCATTAAAAAAGATCATAAAAAGGTAATTACATGTCTCAATACTAAAATCAATAAGAATATTTAAACTTAATTAAACAGAATACAAGTTTCAGGAAAAAGGAACACTTGTGAGATTATCGGCTCAGGAATAATCCATATATATATATATATATGCGACTTACCATTTGTGTTACCATAAATGCGTGTTTATAATTATGAAATGGAATACGATTGTAACGTCGATAAATATCAGTAAGCCATAAATCTAATCGATGCAGCTGTAAATTATAATGTTCAATAAATCCAAGTTCTTGAAAAATTTCACGAACTAAACGTATCAACTGAGCATCTGTTCTTGACCAATTATTGAATGTAGATGAACGTAATTCAATTAAATCTTCTTTAGAGACTGGTTCTTTACTATAAATAATAGAAAAATGTTAGGGAAAAGTTGCCAGAAGAAGTGGCTAATAAAAGAATATTCTTCATAATGAAAATGTGCAAACATGTATTCTTATAATGCTTTTGTTTATCAAAGATAGTTTTCACGTTTAACGAATGAAACATTTCTAGACAGATAGTAAGTTTTAGTTTCAAACTGCACTAGACCGAATTTATGATCTAAAGATCCAATTTTGAGAATATGGCATATGCAGCTGATTCGTTTTAGATGGGATTGCTATTACAGGACATTGATACAAGAATTTGTTTTCACTTTCACATCAACTGAATAAACGAGTATACTAATACTGTCAACAGAATTATAGTCATCAATTTATTAGGTCTTTTGAGATGATCACTTTAAGGAAAGCTTAATTTCATCCTCATTGAATCACTGAAGATCAAACAACATCTGCTAAATGTTTAGTCATGAGTTATGAAGATGAAAGCTGATAAATTTCTAATTGTGAAACAAACCTCTCACTTCAAATTCACTATTTTGATAAACTTTTGATAAATTCGGTTGGAAAACTAAATTATGCGTTCAATATAAACGAATATTGAAAAAAACCACCTAGAATGACATGAAAACTAACGAACTTTTATATTGAAATCATAAAATCAATCATTGTTAGACCACCATCAGAAACCCGGAAGCACTAGACAGCCGTTTCATCCTTCTACGGGACTCATTAGCAACGCGTATTCATGGCTCATAGAAAGCGAACCCAAAACCTTAACCTCTGAACCACCAATCCAGCATCCAACGGTGTTAACGTCTAACTTTGATCATTCTAAGGATTTTGCATAACCTTACACGTTGTTTCCACCATTGACTAACTACACGTGACAGAGTTCACCTCCACAGATCCTTTCAACATCACCTAGATTCTTCAATAAAATCTAATCTTCTTTTAGATAGAAAGCGGATGAGAATAGCTTCCGTCGAAACAAAATATGTTCATTTTATTCTGTAAACACTCTTATTCTTGTTTTGTGTTTTTCAAAAATTTGTCAACGGATGTAATTGAATGACAAGTGTTTTTTAAATTATGTAACAGAGAAAATTATTGATCGCACAGTGAATGTATATTATATATCAAATAATAACAACAATTCATGGGCGAAATGAAAGAATATATATATTTTTTAAAAGTACGGCAATTCAAGCGTCTACTCATTATGCAATCGATATATATATATATATATATATATATATATATATATATATATATATCAATAATAATCCTTCGCATAATACTCCTAATGAGTTATGCATTCAACTAATCAGATTACAGAAATTTTTCTTTAAAAACTTTAAGTGGTGTTTTTTTCTTTTCCTCAAAGTAAATTGTTCATATTACTAAATATAATATGAGTAGCATTTTTATGCAATCGGAAAAAAAATGCAAGTAGAGATAAAAAAAGTGGAAAAAATCATTCAAACATAAACGATAAAGAGGAATTTTTTGTTTTGAAAATGCAATCCAAACAACATATTTAATTTAAATAGAATATTCATAATAATAAAGATAGAAATTTCAAATTTTTGTGATATCTCATCAATAGGCAAAAAATTGAATTTCAGACATTTTGCGGTATGCATTATACCGGATTCTTTAGAGAATAATCAGATGTGAATTGTCAGTGGTGATATTAGCTATCGACAGGAATATAAACACTTATGAAACAGTAAGACTGATCATGATAGTGTGCTGTAGCTTACTCAGTCAATTGCGTTCCTTTACTAAAAAAATAAAACTTAACTAATAACAATGGTTGATTTCTTTTTTACGTATTGTTTGTTCTGTTAACTCCGTCTGGAGCCTCTATGTGGCTACTGCCAGTTTCAAGCACAGATAAAGGAGGAGGGTTCGCATGTGGTTGGCGACCTCATCCCATAAAAGTCTAACTCGCTAAAAAAACGCTAACCGAAAATACCATTTCAAACCATCGTTTGTTCAATCGGCAAAATAGAAAACGTGATTACAATCAAATCGATGCAAATCAAATGTATTATGTCATAGATTCTTGACACATATTAGTCATCAGCCTATGCCGATGAAGATTATGATTATGGATTTCAGTAGATCAATAGTGAAATGAAAATATCCTACACATGTTCTTATGAATGCTTATAAGTTTTGACAGATTATGTTGATACGTTGCAGCTCATATGTTTTCCGAACTGTTGACTATAAAACAAGTGAAATGAAGTTAGATAGAGCTGTTATCAATTAAACAATATTTTGATATTTACATTTTTATGAACCCCTTTATAAATTGTAATTAAATTTGAAAAATAGCTTGATTATTTATACAAAAACAAAACTTATTTGAATATATGACAATAATATATAATTTACCATAGACGTTGAAATTCTTGTATATTTCTTCGACTATCCGCATCAGAACGACGAATCAAATGCATTTGAGGATTTGGAGCTGGTGCATTCAAGCCAGGTACTAGAATATTTTGTGTGGGAGGTTGTTCTGTGGTCAATCCAAGCCAACTTAAATAGGAGAATGACTGAGAAAAGTAAAAGTTTGTTTAAACATTGACTAGTACAATGTTGAAAAGAGAATATGAAATCATTGAGCGAACATATAAACAATTATTTACAATCTAAAATGTCACTTATGAATTTTACATCTTGATATAGTGGATAACTGAGTAGATTTGACATTTACTAATAAAATTATTTTATTTTAAGCCGTGTTTTAAATAGGCATGTGATTATCTTGCCAAAATATTTCGCACAGAAAAATTTTTATTATAGACGTAAATCATTTTAACTAGCCAGTAGTTGCAATGTGCTCACTAGTTTAAGTAACTTCGTCGTGTCACATACACCATGCTGAGATATCAGGTGATTGAACATGATCGACAAGATATGATAGGTAAAGGTTTCATGCTATTACCTTCTCATCAGTATGTAGCGATTATGATCATATATAGTTAATGAGGCTTTTTATGTCACAATATTAGTTTTCGTGATTAACTGTCATTCAAATATATTTATCGTATCGATTCGATTGGTCGGTCATAGTCGACACCCACTGAATTTCGTAATATTTTCCTTCATTGTAAAAAAATCTACAGAGCCTTCAAAGTATGTGAAAATCCACAACCCATAAATGTAAATGACTCTTCCGGTCACCCACATTGAACGAACATTCTTTGTACTTAAATTAATGGTTGCTTTAATTCTCAGAAGAAGCATCGAGCTCATGACTTCTGAAGGAACTTGGCTTTTATCACGAAACGTCATAACTCTGCTGAATGAAGACCTTCTAACTCGCAAGGCAAAGTTTAAATGGTTTGAACTAATTTTTCTAGTTGGCGTTTTTTTAGAAAGGTGATTTTTCACAAGTTAGGGTCGCTAAACCGGTTCACAACTCTCCTTCTTTACCTGAACCGTCAGTAGACCCAGAGGGACTGCAGTAAAAAGGGATAACATAATGGATTAAACATTCGAAAGGTATAATCATTCCTGAAAATGAGTTTTAGGGGAAAAATTGAATGAACGTTTCACTTCGTGAGTAACATTTGACAAAAGGAATGTATAAATAAACAATTTTAATAATATCCTGTTAGGAATGATAAAACTTTAAATTCTTTGAATCAAGAAGAAGTCAGTTTTAAGATTCACAAATTGGTTTCAGGTGATTTTTGTTTTCGTGTATTTTATTAGGGGAAACTGATTAATTTACTGGGAATCGCGATTCAAATGAAATGTCTTCATACTTCACGAATAATCAATAAATGTAATTGATAAATAGTTAAATGAACTCTTTGGTCTCTGTCAATAATGCGTCTAAACATGCTTGAACTTCTGTTCCTATTTGTTGGTATATGTAAGGAACCGACACTGTCGCAAATTCAATACGTGTAACTGTGTGCTTGGTATACAGAGTTCTAGTGAAACTTCCAAATAAATAAATATTTATATATGTAACTGATTAAAATGATTAATAATATTTCCTGGTTTGAATCATGGACTAACACTGGTTAAATAAACATTGAATTTCATCTGCATGCCGAACTCTGTTTGGTAATGCGAATTCACTCGTACATAACCCTATACACATAAACCTTTTATAATAATAATAATAATAATAATAATAATAATAATAATAATTAAAAACTCCCATATATTATAAAGTAATAGAAAAGTACACTTTATTTATTCCTTTATATGAAATCAAGAAAATAAAACATGATACAACAAAGTTAAAATATCTACACTTACTTCAACTTGACAACGTAAATTATGCAGTTCTCGATAAATTTTTGTAATACGCTTGGCATCCATTTTATCATCATTGGGGAAATTCATAAGTTTACGACAACTGTGAACAACATTATCATAATGAGTTTCTATTAGTTCTTCTTCATCATCATTGTCCTCTTCATCATTATCATTTTCGTCGCCATTATTATTAGTATTATTATTCAAATCATCATCATCATCATCTAAATGATAGAAATTAATATCATGATGTGTAGGTCGAAATATTTTCGCTTGACTTGAATCGGCTGTATTAAATGCATGCCATAATTGTTGATTATCTGTTGTTGTATTCGTTTGACAAAATTGATCTCGTGTCATATTGATATGATTGAAAATATGTTGAACACTAAACGAAAGAAAATAATTTAAACAAAATAGAGAAAAAACAAAGAGTGGAAAGGTTAGAATCAATCGGATTGTATTTTTAAAAAGAATTTGATTTGATTAAAATCAGCCAATAATAAGAAAATAAAGTATATGAATACAAATAAAAAGGTTAAGGTTAATGATGAAACTTATAGATACATAATACGGTAGTTGGTATTTACTATTATAGAAGTTATTTGAAGCAATAAATAATCTATGGTTCTTTGCATTTCAATTAGTCTTTTTATTTTCTAATAATATTTTAAATAATACGGAAACATGTAGGCTGTGAACAGTGAACTTTTAACTTTTGCATCAATTAAGAATTTCTTATTTCAAGAATAGAGTAAAGTAAAATAAAGATGATAATAAATTTTATCGTAGTAAAAACACATCAATCAGCTCTACAACCAATCGATAGCTAGTTAGAGCACCGATCCACGTATTTCATCCTACACATCAGAAGTAGCAGTATTATTAGCCTAAATATCAAAGACAAGTAAACTTTACTTGTACTTGGTAGATGTATTATATTGAATCAGATGTAAAGAAAGGAATATACATATATATATATATATACATATATATATATATATATATATATATATATATATATATATATCAGTATGTATATATTTTTTGTACCCTGTGTTAATTCTATTTAACTTTATAGTATTTTATTTGGAGTGTTACTTATGTATTGAAGTTAGTGACTAGTTTGTAGATTTAAATATTTATTTACTTTTATACAACCATTAAGATATTTCTTTCTAATTGGTTTCTTATCGAAATTTCCATACTAATGTGATACATTTTACAATAACCAATAACATTGTTACTAAATGAACAGTGGTTGATCATTGTACAAACTATCTCATTATTTTATCTAAAAACTAGTAATAATCAGTTAGCATCATCTTGCAAACAGTATTAATACATATTACCGTGATTTATATTAATCTTTGGACGGATTATTTGTGATAATCTTTTGATCTATTGTTACCTTAACATTGACCCTTGTCAAATATTCACGTGTAAGCTTCACCATGTTTTATACATGTCACATGGTACAGTTTACACGTATATCTTATTGTGGGTATAAAAATGAGTTAACTCTGAGTTGGCATATTTCTGAATCAAATGTTTTTCACAATCTCTGCTTCTTTCGTTGTTTATCTGACTTTTAACTTTAGCTGACTGAAATGTATGTATCCTAAATGCGTTCGATATTCAACTTGCAGTACATAGACTTTCATGTTGAGTACACAAGGCTTGCCCAAGCATTTGAACAAATTAACTAATCCATTTTGCCCGAGTTATTATTCACTCGTCTTTTTGCTATGTCAACCGTTCGTTCATATCTTAGTTGTTTTTATTTGAGTGTGTGTATGTGCTGTTCAGGTAGGCTTATTGCATGTCTGGCTTGTTTTTGTCTGACTGTAAATGCTTAATCATGTCTAATTACATTTAACTGACACGCCGGCCTTCTCCGGTTTGCTTCACTTTGCTGTCAAGCTGTGTTCGCCCGTCGATGTGCATGAACGATTGCTTCAAATAAACTCATCCAATGGAATCCGTATTTGGCTACTTATTACCACCGTCGTACAAACCGGGTCCCCCTACGTATGAGATACTGAAACTGTAGAGAAGAGTTACTTCATCGTATTACTCGTCATCGCGGGCCACTAAAATGGTGAGCTCTACTTTGAGTTCGATACAGCCACTAAAGTAGTAAACGCACCTACATAAAATGGTGATCCTGATGACGAACATAACTCAGCCACGTCTACATAAATCAGTGAGCCTCGACTACGAATAACGAATACAACGTACCTAAAAAATCTTGATATATCGTTGTTCTCAAAGTGTCAGTTCTATAGAAAATATATGAAATAAGAAGAATATAGATTGTTTTTACATCATTTTTACTCAGTTCTACATGAATCAGATAACAGAGATGACGAAAGCTCATTGGATGTGAAATGACATATAAAGACAAGGTTATATATTTAGATAATTATAACAACTCGTTACATAACAATACGAATAATGACTAACAAATTTAGAAACTTAAATTATAATTCAAACCTCAACCAAATTTAAATTTTGACAAATGTAAAGGTAATTGAATAAAGCGCTTTGATTAACCAAGAGGCTGTATAAACTTTTTCTGTACACAATGACTGTAGTTTATCAATGTGTATGCTTCTGTGTACGGCTTCTGTTGTATGTAAAGGTCGAACTTCGGGAAATAAGGCAATTCTATCAATAACTTGGAAAGTTGCATTTATATCGATATGCTGACCAATGTCAATTAAATATGCACTTAAACAGAGCTTTTTATTATCTTAGTTTCCCCTCTAATCATCAATGAGAAGAGTGAGTTTCACAGACAAAGCTGGATGTAAGCTCAAAAAAACGTGCTCCACAGAAACAACTGACTTGTTAAAAAAGACACATTTCAAATCGCCATACAACAAAGTGAATGTATCTAGCCTTATATATATATATATACTGATTCTATACTAATGGTGTTTGATTCCAAGCACTAGGTTTTTCAACATACGTTTATGAAAGAAACATTACAATTGATTTATTGCTTCGATAGAGCCTAACGAAAAAGAAAAAACGAAGATAATCAAAACTCTGTAATATATTTAAAACAAATCTCATCAAATATACATGTTAAACAAAACATAGATAAACGAAAGATTATAAAGAAACTCCTCATTATTATTGGATAATAGAAAAATAATATCATGGTAGAGAACAAACAATTCTTGAATAATATAAAGAAGGTGTAAATTTTCGTATGATCAATGCTTCAATAACCCTTTGTAAAACTTTTGTACAATCATCCTTATGACCTGCTGTTTCTACTATTGATTTTCTGTGTTAAAAAAAATACCGTTAGATGTTTCGTCAATTATACTCTTATTGGGTCATTTGATTTTAAAAAAAAAAAAACTTTATCCTAAACGAGCAGTTCTCTATATTTGTTGAGTACATATTAGACAATTGTTTTTTTTTTCACAATAATAGTCTTTTATATATACAGCAGTTGATGTAAATTGGCGGGGTGGGGGGCGGTGGCTGGTTCATTTTCACAACAACAAGTTGCTTAATTTAGCAACTATATATAATTATAATTAGATGGTTATTTTTATAAGTGTAACATAACACAATCTTGTTGCTTAGTTACGTAAACATTTCTATAATCTAACCTAATTTTTCTTCAAACCTAATCAATATGTATTGTGTAACTTTTATGAGTAAATGAGTAAACCATAAATTTAACTGTTTATCATGGAATGATATAGAATGAAACACAATTCAAGACCAAAAAAAACTGTCCACAGCTTTCACAGTTCTCCTCATTGGAATGATAAGAATTATTTATTTACTTATTTGTAACAGGATTTTAATCCATAAATCATGAAGATTAGTTAAGTTTCAATGCAACAACACATTAATACTGTACATTTTTTATTTATGTTCAATGATTTTTTTTTGTTCTAAAAGAAATGATATACATATATATTATTCATTTAAAACAAAATAACACAAGAAAAAAAATTTGTTCTAAGAAATCAAAAAAAAAGTTTTTAAATTAAAAAAAAAAGGAAGAAAACTTACAAATAAAAATAATGAAATATTTTAAAGAAATTTTTTTGTGAAATGGTCAACTTTCAGAGAGAGAAAAAAGCAGCAGTTTCTTTTTTTTTTATTTTTAATTTGTCAAATCAAATGTAAACTATGTTAAATGACCTTAAATAACCCAAAAAATTAAAGCAATGTAGATCTTAATAATGAAAGAATAGAAAAAAAACTACAGAAAAACATGAAACATTCATAGTGCGCGCATTTTTTGATTTATGTCTAAGAGATAACCAACCAACCAATTAACTAAGTTGTTAGTTAACGCTCATGGAAATAAGGTCAAAATGTGTTATCTATTTATTTAAAATGGTCTCTAATTTTAAAACAAATATTAGTTATTTATCACATTAGATGAGTTCATAGGATTAATACAAGTAGGAATAGTGTTCAGCACAAGTAATGTACATTCCATTATACAATATTACAACATTGCATCGATAATAGTATTCGATTATAGATGTCTTCGAACCGTCGGTCGTATATCCTGGGTCAACTAAGGAAGCAATGCTGTCGTTAGGAAACGAGTACTATGTAAGGATGGCAGGTCAATAGATGAACTATTGAAACTTCATCAGATGAGGTGGTTGGGAGATGTGTTACGTATGGCCAATCGCCGACTGTTTTTAGGTGTAGGAGTAGGTTGAAAGAAAGCTAGGGGCGGCCAGACCAAAACATGGCAGAAAACCATGAGTCACTGACACGTGGACTAAGTCATGTTGGTAGATGTAGGCCACTTGGTTGGAGACCTTGAATGACATGGCTCAAAATCGTTTGCAATAACACAGGTGCATCCATTCTTTGTGTTCTCTCGAATTCTAATCTTCTGAATTCTTCAGCACCTGCATCTTTTTCTCTTTCTAAAGTTATTTCACTGATCTATACTTCTTGAATCATATCTTCGAATCCTAATCTTCTCCATTAACGTTGATTCTTCTACTATCTCCATCACCGTGGTATTTGAACTGACAGTTGCTTCTCTGTGCTAATGTGGTACGGCAACCTGTACTGACGTACTTACGTACGAAGTTCTGTGTTGTAACTGACGGACTGACTGACTGACTTAATGATCAATCACCTTTCAATGTGATTAGTAAACAAAGCGAAGAACTGTAAAGAATACCTAACAAAGAAACAAGAGGTTATTTCTGATTTTTATATTAAAGAAATTGTATGAGACGATAATGACACGCGTATTTATGGATGACTGGAAAAAAATAAAATTTCTTTAGTTCTATACCTCTGTTCAATGAAGATTTTATTCATGACTGTTGGGGACGTTAGATCCACAGATCTCACTTCATAAAAGTCCTAATTTCGGAT